AAAAAAGGAATCTGGTAAAGAATATCCAAGAATTATTTTTTAGAAGATTTTTTAATTGATTTTGAAAGAGAGAAAAGGGGGAGAAAGAGAGAAACACCAATGTGAGAGTGTAACATTGATTGGTTGCCTCCTGCACAACGCCCACCGAAGATCAAGCCCGAAACCCCAGGGATGTGCCCTGACCAGGAATAGAACCAGCAATGCCCAGGTGCACTGGATGATGCCCGACGACTGAGCCACTCCGGCCTGGGCTCCAAGAATTCTTTGTATTATTTTTGTAACTTTTCTGTAAATCTGAAAGTATATCAGAATATTAAATAAAATGTTAAAGGAAAAATAACAAAAAGCCACTTTCTCTATATAGTTTTCCTCCCACCTGCCTCAGCTTTAAAAAGAATTAACATTTTAACACATTCATGTACAAATTATATTTATGAATATTTCTCCTATTAGACAAAAAGTATAAATTGGAAAATAGAAGTACCCAGAGTCAAAGAGAACTATTAAATATTTTAAAATATAAAATAATATTTTAGAATATTAATATGGTAATAGAGGGGTTTTAATATTAAATTACCTGGGGCAAGATATTGGACCTCTCTAGGTTATAGTTCCCTCATCTTTAAAAATGGAATAAAAAATGTCCATCCCTTAGCATTGTCATAGGAATTCAATAAAAGGATAAATATTAAATAATTAATATAATTCCTGGTTCATAGTTGGTGCCATGGTATACTAGTTCTAAATGTTTAAGAAAATGTTGATAACCAGTTCTCTCCACCCTGTGTCGTGTCCCCAACTCCCAAAAAGCATATGGAGCAGAGCAGATGCTGAGTGAATAGCTATTGAAGAGGTGGGGGAGGGAGGCATGAATCCGTGTTGCAATTCTACAAAGTAATTCTGCAGTGATCCCAGCGGCCGCGCTTTTGCCATTCCTTCTCAGTGACTTCATGAGTCCCTTAACCTCTCCAGGCCTCTGCTTTCCTCGTCTATGAAATGGGCTGGTTTTCATTACAACCAGAAGGACTAGCTACTTAGAGGGGGCTATACAGATGCTGTGACCTAAGACCCTTAGCGGGAGGACTGGAAAAACCGGGGCAAACGTGCGATCCAGCCGCCTGCCAGGCGCGGGGGAGCTGATCTACAGCCGCCGGCTACTCGCGCCCTGGCCCGGGCGAGGTGGAGGGTGAGCGGCTCCTGGGTGGGGCTGAAGGGGAAGCCACCGCCCCAGGGACATCCAGAGGCTGGGGTCAGAGAGCCCCAGGACGCGGGTATGTGCACGAGCGGGAGCTCTGGGCAGCTGAGACCTGGACGCTGCAGTCACTGCCCACCCCCTTCCAGTCCCCTCCAGAAGGGCCCCTCCCACCCAACCCCTCCTGGGCAGGTCCCTGGAGCCCGCGAGGGCCATGCCCGGTCCTCTCCCCTCTCGGACGGGTCGGGGGCGGGGCGGGGGGTGCAGGTGTTGGCCAGCCCCGCCCCCGGGCGGCCGGCTCAGCCCCGCGGGAC